GTTTGTTTGGGGGTGTGTGTCTGTGTTGCCTCCCCAGCGCCCGGGAAAATGGCGCTCTCCTGGTGTCGCCACAGGCTGCCTGCAGCCCTGGCCCTTTCTGGGGTTCGGTTTGTTTTGGGGTTGGTTTGTTTGTTCTTGGTGGGGTTGGGTTGGTTGGTTGGTTTTTGTTTTTTTTTTTTTAAGGAAAAATCCAGGGGATAATAGGGGAGTGGGCCTGGGGGGAGGAGGAAAGCTAAGCTGTCCCCTCCAAAAGATGGCACCTCCACCACACACCCCCTCTCCCTCTTCCTAAAAATCTCACTTTTATGAGATTTTCACAGTTTTCTGGCTGGGGGGGGGACAGGGCAAATTTGACAGGGAGTTGGGTATTTTCAAGCACACCACAGCCACCTGCTGCTTCACTACCCCCCATACCAAAGCTGGACGCTGCCTCTCTGTCATCCCTCTCTGCAAAACCTGAAATTCCTAATGGGTTTTGATAACATTCCCTGGCTTTAATTTGGCTTCTGCCCTTTCCAGTACAGGCAGTTCTCAGCCATACCAAGAGCCAGCCGGCTCACAAAACCTTTCGCTGCTCGATGCTTTCCTGGGAAGCCACCTCCAGTTATTTCTACCTTCCCCCACCTGCCCCCCAATGAAACCATGCTACAAAAATGACCCTGCTAATTTACAGGAGGTGTCCTTGAGATAATATTGACCGATGCTGAGCTTTCTCCCCCACCAGCCCCCTTTGTTATTTGATTAAGGTGCCTCATAGCCCCAAGTCGATAGGAAAGCCTGTGCTCCCCAGACCAGTGACACTAATTGTAATCCATTGCGTCATTTCACCCAGACCTGCAATTCTTTGTTGATTTTTTTTTTCAGGTCTTTGCCTTAATAGTTGCTGTTTGCGCAGAGTTCAGCTACCAGGAGTGTTTACAGAGTATTTGTTCGCCAGCTGTCTGACCCCTTCCATCCCACTGCCCCTATAAAGAGGGTTTCATCAGATCCCATTAAAGCCCAGGAGCTTATTTTAAGTCCGCAGACCCTACGAGGCCGCTGGAGCATTTATGCGTCTTATCCTCATGCATCATTTTTTCCACATTCACTGCAATACTCTCCTTGTTAAGCTTCTAAAAGGCTTTCACGTGAACCATATGGAGAACTATATAGGACACGGGTAAGTCACAACACACCTCTTCTGCTGCTCTACATTATCGATATTGATCCCTTCAGATTATTCAATACCTGGCCTTATCCCAAACATATACATAGAGTTAGTGCAGCTTTTAAATGTTAATAGTCTTTGTTTGCTAGCGTAGAGGAGCACGGAGCCCTGATGTAAGGGACATTTTAGTAATGCAAGATTGATTGAGACTGCAGCAGTTTCGCTGTTGACAGGAGCTTGTACAGGAAGATGGATCATACGTATTCAGTGAGGCAGTCTCCCTACAAGGGCTTCCTGTGTTCAGAAATCATTGGCAGAACCACAGCTTTTTCTCCCCCCCCTCCTTTTTTTTTTTTTTTTTTCTTTTAAGTGTTTTAATTTTCTAACCTGCCCTCCCCTGGTGGAAGATGGCAGAGTGAAATACAGGTAATACAGCAAGAGATCTGCAAGTGGGAAGTTCAGATGCATGCCTCAGACTGAAATTTAACAGATAAAGAAACCTTGAGGTCACAATAATCCCAAGGACAAGCAGTGGAAAGACGATAAAAGGCGGATTTAGTGCTCCAAGAACTGAATTTGACATAGCTAGACCCCCTGGAACCACCCAGCAAAGCATTTTTCAGGCCTTTGTTCCTCTTAAATAGATAAATTACCTTCCATGTGGCCTTCCATGCTGTAAAGTTTCAGAAAATACCCCAGCATTTCACTTGTTGAGGGAGCCAGAGCCCATTTTATGCTGTCACACTGTCCTGCTGTAGAAGTAAAAATAATTTTACTGGGATTATTAGCATATATAATTTCTGTTATTAACATGTAGTGAAGAACCATGAGGTATTCATAAAAACATTCAATCACTTTCTGCCTGAATGATTCACAGGACTATAAAAAAAAGTTGGAAGAACCTGAGACACAGGATGTGCACATGCGTGTCCTTCATAACAATGCTATAAAGAGAAATTAGCAGTCATTAATCATGTAGTGTGCAGCCCTTTGAGATCCTAAAGAAGACACCTTCCCTTTGGGTTTTTTTTTTTTGCTACATCTAATCTAAGAGATTATCTTAGCTCCTCAAATCTCACTCAGGGATTTACCTGAACAGGTGAGGTGTTGCTGCATCTAGAAAATCAGTGACAATAAAAGGCTTATACCAGTCTTCCCAATTCAACCAGTGTAAAACACCCGTCCATCAAAAATATATAGCCTGAATTCCTCCTGTAATTGCCCTAACTGGCCTGAATTCCTGTAACACTGAATTTCTTCCACTATGCCTACAGTCCTGGAGTCCCAATTCTTCCTACTAATCAGTCATTATGCTTGCTTTCATTATGCAGGATAAATATTATAGTATTAACGTAATCACAGTAGTAACGACAGGAGAGTGCATGAGCAAATAGTGCCCTGTGATATCTGCAGCCTGATTCACCGCAACATCTCCATGACAGCGTGCAAGTAGAGACTTGACTTTTGTGGTGAGGTTCTGCCCATGCAGAGCTGAAAGTCTCCACAAGGTGAGATGGTTGTGGGACAGTCAAGCCTTTAGCCCTGGCTGTGTGTCCTTCCCCGCAGCCAGAGAACACAACCCTATTGCGATAGGCTGAGGTAACCTTTCATGAATATGTTCCCCAAGCATGCCAGCTTTATTTTGCTTGTTTCTTCATGGCTTTGTGCAAATAAAACTGTAAGGACAGGACTGCAGAAGGTCAGGGTTTTCTTAAGATGCAGCATGTACATTTCTGGCATAAATTTAAACGCTGAAGTGTTTTTGGCTAGCATCTCTTCTGTTTACTCAAAATTTCCATTTTTAACCAAAGTGTTGCCTCAATTGAGACATGAGTCATTGATCCAAGTACAGGATCTCCAAAAGACCAAATCAAAACTTGACATCCAGTTATATCCAGGGCTGATTCTTTTGGGTCTGGCACCCATAGCTAATTTTCAGTTCCCTATCTTGTTTTCTTGGTGTGGTTTTAGTGTTTTTTGTATTTCCTTGTTTTATGTTGTTAAAAAAAAAACCAAACAATTTGCCTCACCATCCCATTAACAATATTTTATGCAAATCCCACAGATGGAGCCCAGGAGTTAAGGACCCAGCACACATGTATATTATTAACAGGAATATCTTTTACTGGATTACACAAAATAGAAGTGAAACCCCCAGTATTTCGACAGCTGCCTAGGAGGTACAAAGAAAACTCCCCAAGAAAAAGCCAAAAAAAAAGTTACCAACTCACCAGCAGTGATGGTTTTGCTTCTTCCTCTGGAATATGGAGTAGTAGCTATAAGGGGAAGAGGATACTGAATTGGGCAGACCCTGAGTTCCTATTTGCTAAGGTAAAGCAAGCCGGAGTGAATAACCCTTCTTAAAAAATGCTGTCTACCACCACCTAGTGGAAGAGACGACTTCAGGTTCCTTGACCTACATAAATTTATAGTTTATGCTGGGGACAGTCATGACTTGACTGCTGTTCTTCCCCCCTCAATGTTTTATGGAAATAGTTAGAAAAAAAATTATTTCTTTCCAAGAACTGTTTCTAAAACTGAATGACATACTTCCTGGTCTGTCATCTGAGCTAAACGCTCAGTGTTGTCACCTGCGAAATGGAGGTAGGAAGACCCAGGAAGAATTTTATGACGTTTAATTAGTGCAAAGTGCTCTTAATAGCAAATAGGGCTTTTAGTCCAAGGATCTCGGACTACTTTGGTCCAAGTACTCAAATTACTGAGGCTTCAGTCAGCGATCCAAGAAGCAGATGTACTGCTGTGCTTGCTCTATAGAAAGATAAATAGCAGGGGTTGCAGAGTTACAGTTGCCTGAATTCACATAATAAATCAATAGGTGAGCAGGAGGAAAAAAAAAATTTGTATAGTTGCAGAATTGTTGGATCCCTGCTATTTGTATCAAGATGGTTTTACCTCTGGCAGCTTTGGGAAAGAGGAGACCTTCCTTCACCTTTGTATATGCAAAGTATTTTGTAAATGGAGACCAGATTCTGGCAGCCAGCACAGTATAAATCACCCAGAACAGCTTCCTGTGCTTCTCACTATAGAGCTGCTCAGACCACAGTGGCTACATGGTGCTTGTCCAAATGTTATCAGCAAATACAGGGAAGGAAGAGTAATAAAGAACACTTACAGTAACACTAACTCAACTGGACAGCTTGTGATTTGGACGAGAAGCTGATTTTCTTGATGCTGTTATGTCTGGTACCTCAGGGGCTGTACCAAATAGATGAGATTTAACTTGCTGAGTCAGGAAGAAGGCCTGTATTTGGCAGAGGAAGGAGGAGATGGGCTTAGTCACCTCTTGGAGTTCATTCCCAGCCCTCTTTCCAAAAGCACAGCCCCTGGAACTAGCCAAGGGAGAGTCCTTACGTCTTGGGAGGAGCGGGAGCAGGAGGGGGCCAGGAAAACAGCATGCATTTATCCTCCCTGTTCTCTTTTTCTGCCAGGTTCCAGTTGCCAATACTGCTGAATTGCTGGAGCCACATCTCCCGGCTGAGACGTTATGGCAGCAGAAAAAGCACTGCAAGAGCCGGTGGCTGACAGCTCCTGACATTTTTGCTTTGCTGCTGCACATCCACACTGGCGTTTTGCTTGCAGCTACCCATCAGATGAAGCCCGTGTCATTTGGAGAGATGGTCTCCGAGCAGGAGACAAGCTGGGTCTTGCCACCCTGCATCAAAGTTCATGCATGGGTGTTGTTCAAGGCTGTGGCAATAAATGGCAGCTTCTGCTCACAGATGCGTACAGGCAGGACCAGAGCAACTTATTTTCACTTAATCTACTTCCAAAAGGGTATGGACATGGGGCACAAAATCATTTTTAAGTCCATTAGAGGAATTTTGTAGCACAGAGTAAAACAGGTTTTCTTCAAACTCTCTTGGGAGTTCAAATGGTCCTTTACTCTGCAAAGAACAGGCAGCAGCACCCTCGTGGTTGCTTACTCATATCTCAGCAGAGAAGTGATAGCAGAGAAAGAATCCCGGTTTTAACCTTTCATCACTTGAATCCATGTGCAAGCAATTCTGAAAGAACATCCACAGAGTGCTTACAGCGGAAGGATGGTCTTGGATGTGGTCATTACTTTTATCCACTATCTCCTCATGACTCATTTAATGCCTCATGTGAGCATACAGTAACAAAAAACCCCACACAGTGATGTCAGGAATGATAGGAAAAAAAAAGTGATTGCTGCAGAATCAACCTCCTCTAGCAAGTGGCAGAAGACAAAATAAACGAGCACGAGGCATGAGTTAAAGATCAAAATAAGCAGCACCACAACAAGCCCTCTGCTTCTGAAATTGAGCTGTCTGAATCACTCTGGGCAGACGCTGGGAACAGTCATTTGCACACAGCCAGAAAAAAAAGAACTCCCTGAGGCAGGAGGGAGACCTGGGCCCAAACCGAAGCTCAAGGGGCAACTCGAGAGCTGGGAACAGTCTGTGGCAACACTTTTCAGATCCTTTTTTCACTGACAGCTGAACTAACACTTGTCACAGGAGTGCAAACCAGGCAATTATAGCAAGCATGGATGCCACAGGGCTGGAGAGGCTCACTATTTATAGTTCCCTACCGACAGAGCTTTCCCGCTGTGCCGCCGCACACAGGTTAAGGTACAGTCCATGCCTTGAAGGGCTCACAGTCCAAATAAAAATAGAAAGAGGAAGGACTAGCAGCCCCTTTTATGATGAGAGCCAAGACTCGGAGATGACAGGATAAAAAGGGAAATCCACAGCAGAGCCTGGAACAATGAACTCCAACTTCTCCCCTCCAAATTGCCCTTTATTTTGTTAACTCCTTCCCTGCCTGAGGTGCCACGTCTCCACTACTCATAATTAGTGCCAAACAGTTCAATACAATGTCACTGAAGTGTTCTGGCAGGCTGTTTGCCTGCTCTTCCCCCTCTCCCACAACCTGGGTCCATGCCCCATTGACAGGGTGGGACGCATTGGACCAGGGGAGCATCCTGGTGCGCTGACCCCACTAAAGGGACGATAAGCTCCCAGGAATGGAGCAGGCTGTCAGCTTCAAGCATTCAGCGTCTCAGCCAAAGATAGTCGTCTTTGTTTCATGGGGAGGATTAACACACAAGCTGTTTGTCAAAGTTGAACTTTGAAGTGTCTTCTTAGCCATCTGAAATGCGGTCACTCAACAAAGAGAAACCTCTACAAATACATTTGTTGTATTTGAAGTTGGAGACCATCCACTGGCCTATTTTTAGCCATCCGTTTGAACTGGCCATGTTACAATCCTGCCTCTGTTCTCATGCAATAAAAGGCAGAGAAGATTCACTTGACCTGCAGTATACAGAGAAACTAAGACATTTGTCTGGAAAAGAACCACCCAAAATAGCAGCGAAGAAGTCATGCTTCGACATGGACCGTTAAGGGTTCAGACAAGAAAAATGAGTATTATCAGAGGTGGCAGACTTCTTCTAATGACATATTAATGAAAACAATCGCTAGAAAATGATACGGTGATGCTAATTAGTGTTTGTAAGTTTAAGGACCTGGTATCTTGCCCTTTTGCACTAAATACACCACACACACACAAATAAGAAATAATTCTTGCTGAGGTGAGTTCTCAGCTTTCTTCAAGGATTCCTTCTAAATCCCCCTGACTTCTCCTTTGCTAAACATGGCTTTTAGCTCAGAAACCAATGCTCTCGCATGAGCAAACCCGCCCCTGGCAGCTGGGTTTTGGTCGATTGGTTTGACCACTTGTGTTAAATATGATGCAACACAGTATGACAAATGCAAGCAAACATCAGGATGGAGCGTGATGGAAATGCTGCATCCTATCTGACAGGTCAGCGGGAGGGAGAGGAATTATTTACCCTGGTAACAGCGCATGGAAAAGCACAGAGGCTGGGGTTGGATGCATTTGCAAACACCTCATGTTCCCTAAACTTTTTACAGCCCCTCGTTAGGCTTTGCAGTATCCTAAAGTAGACAATTTATTATTACGTTAATTTTCTGTCTTCCCCTGCGTTCAAGAAGCTTTTCAAGCTGGGGAAAGAACCAGAAGACCCGACTGGGGATGCATTAACTTCCCACTATCGCATCAGCAAGACGGTGTGTACCACGCATTTCCCACTGACAAGGAAAGAAAGGTTAAAACCTTGCATGACAGGTTAACAGCATGATTTGCAGCAACAGCTTCAATAAATGGTTGCAGGCACGAAAGACTAGCAGGCAACTAATCCTTTAAGGAGACTTAAGAGCAGCCACTACTTCAGTCCAAGTAAATATTTCAAAATATAATTAATTAGTGGCGACTAGTGGATTTTTTTCCCCTTCGTTTTAACAGTCCAGGCTGAAATGGCGAATCCTTCACAGAACTCATGCTTTCAGTGCCAAACCTGCTATTTCACAGGAGCAGAAAGTCCTCTCAAAGAAGATTCATCGCAGTTTTGTTCCTTACTGTAATTGCAGCAGGACTGGAAGAGCTCTGTACAAACCTCACAGGTCTGCGTTATTGTCAGGCAAGCTCCAAGAGCAGCCTTCATGCTGCTCCAGAGGTGGAGGACAGCATCACGGCTCAGCATCCAACACAAGTACAGTGTAGGGGAAGGAAACGTTCGCTTCCTGATTCTTGTCACAAGTTCTGTCCACATAAAGACCTCCTAATTATTGCCTTACCTCCAATTAAAAGAAGTTTCTTAGCGCCTCCCTAGACACGCGTGAAAGCACAAATGGAAAGGCCTCAAGGTAACAAGTACCTAACCGGCACAAAGCAAAGTCTGCCTGAGCCTGGAGAAACAAAACAGTCCATGAAATAATTCGGAAACAATCATTTCTAATAGACAATTAAGCTTTTTTCCCAAGATTTCCCCACTCCCCCACCCCTTGACCCTTGGCTCCAACTCATAACAAAGCCAATTCTCTTGGGAGGGAAGAATCTGTCATGGGCCGCTAAACTGTCTGGATTATTTTTAGTTAAATCCAGCATTCCTAAAAAACCTCAAGCTGCTTGCATATTAAAGAAGGAGCAAGGAAATGCTGTGAACGTGCACCTCCACATTTCACATGGGGAGCGCAGAACACAGCATGCCAGCTGCCTTGCAACATGCAAGCATAGCTGGGCTGAACGCAGAGCTCTAGGAAAAAGGCAAAGAACGTTTCTTTTCACCAGGCAGAGAAGACAGAAGATAAAGGGAGGATTGGTGACTTCCCCAAGCTGGAAGAGGCACACCAAGGGTCTCTGCTAGTGGTCGAAAGGCCAGGGAGATCTGAGGGCCGGGCAATTTGCACTTACCCGCTAAAGTGATGAGCTGCAGCTCCGGAGCACAGCAACGAGGAAAGGGCCAAGTGGAAAGGCAAGGAGTCCCAGAGGTCCCTTGCTGGGGAGAGCAAGACAAACACCCCAAGGGAAGGGCCAGGAGAAAGCTTAAGGAGCAGTTTAGGGAGAGGCAGAAGCTCTGAGGGACAGTTGTATGAATGGGCTGATGCGTGGGACTTTTAAGGACTAGGCACGAAGGGGAGGATATGGAGAGAGCACGGAGAAACTTGTTCAGACCATGGCCTAAGTGGAGTGTAGCACAAATCTGATTAGAAGGGACAAAACTGTTGTGCCGAGTCATTTCTTCCTGCCCTGCAGGGTTTTTTACGTCTTCTTTTATGCTAAGCAAAATCCATATTGCTGCAAGAGTAACAGTACAGCACAGAGCCTCTCAGTGGCAAATGTTGCCGAATTTGGCTAATTGCAGTTGACAGAAAGCAAGCAAACCCCGACTGCAGGGGCTGGCCTAAGTGTTCCTGCGTGACGGGTACCAGAAAAGCACTAAAGATGCTGTTGCAGATTGTGCCGTTTTGAACAAAACTCTTTTGTTTTACGGCTGTATTTATAGCAGGGGGGTCATAGCCAGCATGCTCCAAGTGAGTCATCACATTCTCTCTCCTGCATCTCTGCAGATGTTTCACACAACTTCTACTAAAATATTTTCAGACCTAAGATCAGTAGCCTGCTGGCCAGCCCAGGCTCCTTACAAACACCCCGCTCTGCAGACAACTAATAGACCATCCAGCCAGGCCTCGAGGATGAGAATATCAAAAGAGTAAGAGGAAATACAAAGCGCTGCTGAGAACAGACGAACAAGGAGTTAGAAACTGGAGTTTCCTCTTGCTACACCACCATGGGACCAGCAATGGGCCTTCCTCTTCTTCCCATCCCGTGAACCTCCATCAGTGTAAGCACATGGAAAATCTCAGAGGGAAGGATCAACAGCAATGCCAACACACACAGAGCAGAAGTAGAGTCACCACCTGGAGTACTTACACCCACTTTCCCAGGTTCGGACCGCAGTGCCTGCAGCCACTTCCCAGTAGAGGGAATGACCTCTCTTTACAAGGCTCTTTGTATGGACAGACACAAAATCATAAGCCTGTAGAAAGCACAACATCGCTGGCTCCACAGGCCTTAAAACAAAGAACTGAGAGACCCAGAAAGGGTGGTAAAGCCCTTCAGGGCTGTGGCTTCACTTGGACTCACAGCTCACATAATCTCCAGGCTGGTGAAACACCTCACCACTCCCTCTGTCACTTCAAGCAGCCTACAGAAGCACAACTTCTGCCTCTTCAAGAGGTTATTAGAACCGTTTGCACAACCCTTTGGATAATTCTGGCTTTTCCTATTACACCTTTCCAGTGCTGAGTTTATCTCCATCCCTCCTGTTGTTGCCACGAGCTGCTTTCAGGCAGATCCTTCTACAGGATCTCCCAAAAAGGGCACTAGCCATGACCTTGGAGGTGCAGCACTGAATGCAATACTTGCTAGAAACCCTTGCTCTCAGTCTTAAGCAGTTCTCGAGTCAGCAGAGACCACTGCATTGCTTTTAGCGGCATCTCTGGGTGTGACACCTCTCCTAGAAGCCCGCTGAGGTCCCTCAGCCCATGTGTGGGCAGCGGGTTGACTCCTTAGCTGTACGCTTGCATGTGACCACTTGGTACGAGTCTGCTGCCTGACTTCCCTTCTCAAGGGAAACTGGCCACGGGAAGTGTTTGAAACTTTCATCACATGTGGCATCTGCGAGCCACTGGTGGCCATCTCTCTCTCAGCTGGTGGCATCTGCGAGCCACTGGTGGCCATCTCTCTCTCAGCTGGTGGCATCTGCACCACCAACAGTGGTAAGGGTAAGCCAGCCCCCTGGAGAGGAGAGGAACAGGCCCCATTCTGTCTTGGGGAGCACAATACACTATTAAAAGTGAGCCATTGGGGATTTAGCATCAGTTTCCAGGGCTTGTAGTTAATGTCTGCAGCCACCCAAGGCTGCCTCCACCGCTACCTTGTGTGTTCCCCCCAGTTTATTCACCTAGAGGTTTCAAAGAGCTTGTCTACGTAAGGGGAGTTTCCTCTGATGTGAGGATGCTTGGGAAATTCAGTTAGCTCTGTTCACTCCAGACAGTAAGAGAAAATAAGTCAAGAGATTTACTTAAAATAAGCCTTTGTTTTTATAAATGATACACTGGGGGGAATTTCTCTGGGTAGCTCAGGCCAGAGAACGCTGGAATCACATTTCCAAATGTCTTTCCAGCAACTTTATGGTATCAAGTGTGTAATACTGTGAATATACCATACAACAGCAACAGAACATCACAGAATCACAGAATCGTTTGGGTGGGAAAAGCCCTTTAAGCTCCCCCAGCCCAACCGCTCCCCTACCCCTGCCACCCCCCCCCCAAACCCCGGCCCTCAGCACTGCCCCTGCCCGGCTGTTAAATCCCCCCAGGGCTGGGGACTCGACCCCTTCCCTGGGCAGCCCCTTCCAGCCCCTGCCCGC